GACCCAGCCCAGCCCAGTCCCGGGGCTCCAGGTGCGGGGCAGTGCCCGGTGGGACCAGGATGCCCCACAGGAGCTGCTGGCTGCCAGCCAGGCTGTGCTAATGAAGCGCTGAGCTGTGGCACTAATTAGGGTGGGAGGCACCGAGGTATTGCCAGCAATGGATCAGCTCTGCTCCCTTCCTAGAGCAAGGGATGGAGAAGCAGACTCAGTGCTCCCAGAGAGGGAGTTTGACAAAGATGTGGGGCTGAGCCCCACGAATGGCACCATGGGCTGTGCCAGCCGTGTGTGTGCCCTCACAGGGGCTCCCCACAGGCTGCCCCACCACTCAAACGGGCTCTGCAAGCTCAGAGAAGCCTCTGCTCCCTCCTCGAAGGCAGCAACGAGCTGGGAGCTGCTCAGAGGAGCCGTCCTCCCCTCACCCCACACGCTGGGGATCCCTGTGATGCACAAAATCCAGGCCAGGAAAACAAACCCTGGGGAAGGTGTTGCTTTTGTGGTGTTATTTTTGTGCTGTTTGCAGCGACGCTGGGACTGCTCTACTGGCACTGCTCTCACATCCCTGTGTCCCCTGGGGTGTCCCCTGTGTCCCCCCACCACCCCACACCACCATCACCATGAGCTTCCTCCTGCTCTGGGTCCCCTCAGCCCAGCCTTTGGCACCCCCACTCTCCCAGCCCTGTTTCTCTCCTGGATCTTGCACTATTCCACAGATCCAAACTTTTACAGCATTCCTGAAACATTCTGTTCTGCTTTTTCCTCTCTCCTCCATCCTCTTTTTTTTTTATTTTCCATTATTTGCTGCAGACTCCACATTCCCAGGTCAGACGCCAGGAAATCTTCCTGGCCCAGGGAGAGACACAAAACAGGCTGGGACAATCTCTCAGAGCCTGCTCAGACCCTGCTCTGGGGGCTCTGATCCATCCTGGGGGGCTGAGCAGGGACCCCCCCAAGCCCCCCCCAGTCTCTGCTTGCTGGGACAAGGCACTGAGGTGGAGTGAGGGGGTCCCAGGCCCCCCAAAACCCCCATCCAGCCTGCCCTGCCCTGTCTCTGGGGCCCTTGTGACTGATGGAGGCGGTTCCCTGGCGACAGTTCCCTGGCAACGGTGCCATGGCAACGGCGCCATGGCAACGGGAGAGCGCCAGGGGGATGTGGGGGGATGCTCAGGGGGATGTGGGGGGATGCTCATGGTGGCAGAGGGAGCACAGGAGTTGGGGTGCCCTCCCTAGGCCTGGCACCCTGACACAGTGCCAGTCAGAGCTGTGGCATCATTGGGACAGTTTAGAGGTTCTGGTGCTCCTGATCCATCCTGGGTGCCAGCAAAGGTTGGAAGGTGATCCCAGGAGCCACTGAGCTCCTCAGGAGCCTCCAGCCCAGACAAGGAGCAGGGAGGAGGAGCAGGGACATGGGGGATGATGGCCTGGGGACTCACAGGAGAAATCCCCAGGCTTGAGACTGGACCCACACATGTGTGAGCATACACACACCCATGCTCTCCTGCACTCTCCCTGGGATCTCCTGCTCGTGGTGGCATAGGGACCACAG